CTTGTCTACTCTCCCCGGGCTGGTGCGCGACAAACTGCTTCGCAAGTTTGAGGAAAGAACTATCTAAGTTTTTCCGCCTTCTTCCCACGGGGCAAAAATATTGTAGCGACAGAAATAGGTCCGGGAACTGTTTCTGTTCCTGCAACAGCTCAGTGTACTCGACGACTGCTAAGTCTGGTTGGCGATCACCTATTCCCTTAGATGCGACGGGGGGGCTCAACGTTTTCCAGCACACGCTAGTGTTTCTTTGATTTGAATTCCTTAAATCTAGTGAAATCCAGTGTCTATAATGGATGCTGGTCAGCCACTGGCGTTGGACAGAGCATTTTCCGTGCATCTTGCGCACATTTTTAAGCACATTCACTTCCTCTGCCATTTCGCTTCCTTGTTGTACAGATTGCAAACGAGCGATCGTCGGTTTTACCTGTTTATCTCGTAGAATCAAAAGGCTGCCATCCAAACTATTGTTGTCATTGGAACTGCTTATCTGGGTCACTAACCCAAGCAATAAAATTTCGTGCCTAATAGGTAGTACCATTTCACAGTAAAATTAGAAAAAGTATGGCAACAGTGTCACACAATGCACATAGTGTGTTTCGCGGTTGCATCTTTCGGGGACCATCTTGAAGGAAAATGTTTTAAGTGGTTGTAGTAGGAATATGTTATGTTGAAGCTTGTCTGAAAGGGGCCTTACAAAAACTTTTTTACTGTTTTTAATTTGCACCGAACCTGAGCGCACCAAATGCAGTAACTTACAGTGTAGCGCGTGTCCTGTATACTTCTTGTCCTTGTCTTCTTTGGGCTATTTTATATGTTCAACTAAGATGAACCAACTATCCCAACACTGTACCCTACTAAACTTTGACAATGTTTTCTTTTCTCGAAATTTGCTTTATTTTAAAAGTTATAGGCAAATTAAAACTACAAAAACAAGCAAAAAATAACCTCCTTCATGACACCTTGGTCCTCTGCCCCCCTTTTCCCACACCGGAGGATTCCCCTTGCCGCGGTGACTGAGAAATGTGGGGAGGGAGGCAAAAACGGGGAAGGGAGGTGAGGCCGAGGAGAGCGCTGCCCGTGAACGGGGCAGCTCTCTCTCCTTGGCTGACCAGGACCAACGTCACGATTTCGTCACATGCCGCGCGCGTTCGACATCACGGGGCGTTTTCGTGGGAGGAGGAGGTTTCCGCGTCGTCCGGTTAAAATATGACGCACTGATATTTAATTACTTTCCATGCCCGCTGGCTTGCCCGAACCCCAAGAGATGTGGAAACCACAAAAAAGGTAGATGCTTAAATAGGATTGCAGGGCCCCTTTAAGAATATGTCGGCATGCAAAAATATCTAAGAACATATTCTTAAAGGGACAATGAAGGCAATTTCGGACATCTTTTTGGCGATTGAACTGGGTTCCAGGCACGTCTCAGACCACGTTGCCCAAATTTCAGCCGAAACCAGCGCTTGTGTGCCGCGCAAATCAATTAAACAGTCACGGTAATAATCGTACCGGAATCGACTGGGACGACACCCCGAGAGTTGCGGGAGAAGCCAGGAGAAGCGGAGCTCACGTGACCGATGCGAGGTCAAGAAGCGCGACGTCACAAGAGACGCCTCAGCGATTGGTCGAAACGAGAGACGCGCCCTCGATCACGTTTTGGTTCTCGGTTTTTAGGAATACTGTTCTAATTAAATCGGACCGGAAATGATTACTAACCCGTAAATAAAGCAGCATAATTGTTTTTTTCTTTGCTACGCTGGACGCGAAACGGCCAACGAGCAACTATGGGCACTTCGGCATGCGGGCCGCTCGTTACCGTCGTTACCAGCTGGGCGGTCTCCCTCGGGTAACGGCGGAGGCCGCCACACACGTACTCCCGTTCCGTGTGTGTTAGGTTACTGAACGGAAGCTTGAACTCGCTCGCAAGAGCGGCATTGCCGTCCATGTTGACAGATTCGACGAAACGACCGCGCCGCTATAACCCACCGCGGTAACCAGAATCTCGATCTCCTAAATACTACCGATACCGACTATTCACACTTGACGTCACTCCTACATCACCTCCATTTTTGGAGGCCCAGAAACGAAAATGGAAATTGTTCAGTTTCGGTTTCTTTACTTCTTTCGTATGCACAGAAATACGTGTCACAAATGGCTACAAAAAATAGGGCAGCATGCTATGTTCCCAAGAAGCATTAAAACACCATTTAAAAAAATTAAATAAAATCGTCTTCATTGTCCCTTTAAGTAGAAAGGTAGCAGACCAGGGTTAGAACAATGAAGACTTTAAAGGTTGAGATGTACAGGGCCTTGTACAAATGGTTTGAAACTGGACGGTTTCAAATGCAAAGGGTGTTTCAGGTACGGGTTCAAATAAGAAGGGCACCTCGGGAGCGGATTCGAAAGGGAAGGGCGTCTTGGGAATGGGTCAAAACGAGACGCGTTCAGACCGAAATAGGTTTCTTTGGGATACAGCTGTCTTTGGTGCCAAACAATCCATAAAAATTTTTTTTTTTTTTTTGGAAAGTACCTAGTCATTTTGAGTTGGATCTACAGCTATATTTCTTCTGACAACCCAATTTCTTACATTGTGGATCAATCTTTGAGCCATAATATCAATTTATAATGCCCATTCAGGCTGAAATTGTACTGAAGCTAATGCTAAAACATCTTTCTCAAAGCACGAATTGCGGACTCTACAAATGTTCAGGTGAGACATCTAAGCATCTAGGGCAGATATAACTAATGTAATATCCGTAGAAATAGCCCACCTGAAAGCAAATCGAGGGAGAATGAGCAGTGGGCTAACTTTCAATGTGCAATCGAGACCATTTTTTTAAATGCCATTTTTGTATTCTGAGATTTGCCAAACTTGTTTTCACACTGAGGGGCAAAGGAGCAGAGAAAACCGTCCTTTTCAGTCAACAGTGTTTGCTTATCTCCTGCCGTAGGTAACTGATCCCATTTCGGCCAGTCACCACTGGCCAGGGAACTGCCATTACCAGAAATGGCCTGTCCTTAGGTAAGGTGGTAAGCTGGGTTAGTTAGCATGCATTAAATATTATGACAGAACGTGCACGAATAGACAGAACAGACAAGGTCTATTTCCTTCTTCTTGCCCTTCTCTTCCGTTCTCTTCTTACCTCGTCTGTCTATTTGTGCGCAATCTATCATCATATCCTTGGGTGTTTAAAAAAAAAGGCAAATCATGTCAAAAATAGGGGTGGGTTATCGTTTGGGGGTGAGGCACCTTTCAGGATATTACGGTATAACTTGTTCTGCAGCACGCAGCTAAATGTGCCAAGCATATAATAATGAGAGCCCGTTTTTTTTAATTTAGGGTTTAGAAAACCTTTTCAAATTAAGTATTCTTTAATTGCTTGGTAGCCACACACTGAACACTGTATTTCAATATGTTGTAAAGTCACTAATGGTTCAATCTATAAAGTATTGCAACATTGTATTCTTCATACTTTGCAGCATCTAGCCAAGTGTTAAAACATTTTTTAATAGTTTTTTTTTCCTTGTTTTTGTAAACAAAGCCAGGCAAGTTATAATTACCCCGAGAAGTAATCTACACCAGATATTTAAAATCTGCACCAACATCACAATATGCAGTGTTCCCCCTCAAGTAAGTGGATGCCCACTCATCTAAATGCAATGGCCACAACAACGTTTTGCTGGGACCTGTTACATAAGTTTGTTCATCCCAATTATTTGTTCACCTGTAGATTGTTCAAAAGGTATTTCACTATAGGTGCAAGCGAACGAAAGGCTATGAGAGTGAATGCAACAGATTGAGCAGGCCTGCTATGAACGTGCTCTGGTGAAATAAAAGGGCCGTTCAAGACGTGCTCATGGTTGTAGGATGAATTGCACTCGCACTTATGGCGAAACAATAGCGCTAACCGAGGTGTTTGTCCGTCTCAGTCAGGCTCAACCTGCACGTACCAGTGCTAAGCCGTGAAACTTGCCCCACCTTGCACTCCTTTTGCAAATTTGCTCTTGAACCAGACAAGCAACCATCTCTTAGTTCCTCAAGGTTATCTCCAAATTTAGGGTGGGTGCTCGACCGGATTTTACAGCATAGCTGTCAATGGCTAGGGTTTCATGGATTTTTCGTGTGTGTGAACAGAAATTTCATTTTCCCCACTAAATTTAGCGGAAAAATTTCTCTGCTAAATTTAGGGAAAAAATTGTCCCGCTAAATTTAGTGGAAAAAATTCTTCGCTACATTTGGCGGGTAAATTTTTTTGCAAAACTTGGTGGGTAAATTTTCCCCCAAAACTTAGCAGAAAAATTTCCCCATCAAATTTAGCAAAAGCATTTCCTTGCCAAATTTAGGAAAAAAAAATTTCCCCCTAAATATAGTGGGAAGGACGAGGAGGGAAGCGCACCACCCTCTCTTTGTCATCGTTCCAAGCGCTTGCGTGCATAGCTTCCCTTCCTTCTGTCCAGGTGGTGGTCCCGTCGCGCGTGTCTAGTTTCGTCCAGCTCCTTGGAGTGGCAATAGTCCTGAACATGTGTGTGCGTACATTTCGTCACAATGACCACCGATCGAGACAATAAATGTGTTCGTAACCTTTGTTCAAAATACTGTGTCACGTCTGTGTCGTCTGCTAAACAGCTTTTCTGGTCATCCACCTTGACAGAGGGGAATGGCTCATGATTTTTTTTTGCATTAATAAAACCAGAACAGCGGCTTCCAAAAGCAAAAAGTTCAACTAACATTTTGTAAATGTCCCTTGAGATGTTTAGCAAATATGATGTTGCCTAAAAAAGAAAAAAACTCACCACGCAAATGTAGAAAGAAAGTATAACTGGATTATTATTGTTCTTAAGTAGCTATCTCTTTTAGCAGACCACGAAATTCAAAGGCTTTCAAGGATTACTCGAAATCTACCATTTTAAAGGCCCTCAAAGTGCCATTTTCAAATTCGAGAGTTTTAGGGACCTGTGCAAGCCCAGTCAATATATAGCCATGACGACATATCTCACAAAAATTATATCCAATACCGAGTTTATTCACACTGGCAATATGAACTCAATGAAGACTCATTTTCAATGCATCTCTCAACATGTAACCATCACCAAATGCATATTGATAATATTGGAACCAAGAAATCACCATCTCCGGAGCCTCTTTGAGAATCACATGCTGGTGCATCAAGCTAGCTATAAATGACCATGGTTTCGTAACAAACAGGACGATACACTGCCAAAAGTATAAGCGCAGGGATGGACAGAACGACATTGACAAAAAAACACAGCGGCAGTAATGGCAGTGTGCTTTAGGCCGACTACTGCTACTTGCTAATAAAAATGAATCTCAATCACCCATAGATGTGCTCAGCTTGGTGTGCAAGCCTGTTCTGCAGCTGTCATAAGGGCGAATTGCAGAACTTCCACAGCAGGATCTGGTGCCATCCCAAATCTACCACGCTGTACTACAGCAAAAGCAAAAGAACCACCAACACAATGCAATGAGCTTGTCTAATTCATGGTTCCAGAGTTGTCCTCCCCATTTACAGTTTGAATCGGTCTTCGGAAACGGTTTCGGTTCAAGCCCTTGAAGCAAATCCTACTGCTCACAAATACAGAAAATTGGTAGATTTTCTATAACAATAAGTGCGGACAGAAATGGTGGCCCCTAGATGGAGAACTTAAAGGATGCATGACCAGAAGTGCAGAAGTGGAGGGGGGGGGATCAATAGAAATTCGGTGGCTACACTATTCCTTGCAATGCAAAGTCACGTTGTCGTCACATTGAGGAAAATACCCCAGAGAAGCACTCGCCACCGGAACTCATGTTTAGAACAATGACTGATTGGCAGCTGTCATGGCCAGCTTGCTGGGTGTTAGTGCAAATAAATATATTGTGTGCAATTCAAATCTTGCTCCAACGAACCGCAACAAAACTCTGAAAAGTTGCGCGCAACACTTCAGAAATGTGCGACACATCTCGCTGAAGCCTCCCTTCCTCCCTCTTCCTGCGTTTGCGACGCCACGGTTGCTTTAAGCATGGGTGAAGTGCATCGACGAGAAATGCAATGTTCCGCAAGCTCACCGAATTGGAAATGCTGCAGCAATCTCGCATCCCAACACAACCAAAGTTTGTGCACACATAAAATCTTGTCGGCTTATTTTCGATATCTGGCTTCATGAATTAAAATCGCAATGACGGCAATTGGTTTACGATACAGCCAAAAACGGTGTACAGATAACAAAGACAAGGAAGATGTAGACAAGACATGTATAGACATGTTTTTCATGTCTATGCAAATCTGGCTATAATTTTATTGTCCACTTCTTAACCCTTTAAGTGCCGTATTTTTTTCAGCCCGGTGGTCCCCTCTGCCGGGTATTTTTTTTCACTGTATGAACAAACTTATTTTGGGCGTAATAACACGTTTACATGCTTCAATGTGTATGTTTAATTAAAGAATATGTTTCTTTTAATCTTAACAATGTTCCGTAACCTCTTAATGTCTTCAATTTAGAAAACTTTTTTTGTGTGATACTCTTCAAAGCACGGTACAACGCAAAGTGGCACCTCGCACACTGAACACATGTAGCGTGATTCTTTGCGCTTCGTTTGGCGAGTCTTGCTCTGGGCGCACACATGGCATACTCTTGTGGGGTTTGTTTTTGCGGCAGTCACTGACATAAAATGTCGTGCTGTAAGACGCGTTGGATCATCTCCATCAGAAGGGCGTCCTTTTCTTGGTCTTGTGCTTGGCTGCTGTTTTCTTGAAGTATGGACTCCGGAAGATGAAGAGTCAAAACTGTGAAGAATGGGAGTGAAGTCACCTGTAGTCCACTTGTAGTCAGTGTCGTTGAGTTCTTTCTTTTTGAGTGGCCTTTCAGGTGGCATTGATTAGTCGTCACTTTCGTCACTCTCCAAAGTACACTCGGTTTCACTGTCATCAGGTTCTGAATTCATTAGAAGTTCCTGCATTTCAAGATCCGTCAAGGAGCGCGAAGTCGAAGCACGTGCGTTTGCCATTGGAAAAGAACGTTGACGCGGAAACGCCATACAGGAGTCGCCTTTACAAAAATATCCACCTGCCGTCAAAAGGTGAAACCACCACTCAAAACATTGATTCAAATAGTTGTCCATAGATGGCGCTTCCTACTCAGAAGAATATTGTCAGCCTGAGTTCACCCAGGAGAGGCAAGGAGTAAATTGAAAACCACAAACGAGTATACTTGGGCGCGGCACCCAAAGGGTTAAGAAAACAAGTGGTAAAAGTCACTTGATCACAGAAAGAAAACTTCTAAAAATGCTGCAGACTAAAACATGACATGGAACGGTTACCAGACTTCAAAAAGTCATAGCATCAGTTCTTAAAATGCATTTCATGCAAATACCAATTTCTCTTTAAACTATAAAATTATTTCTTCACCCAAGACTGAGAAACTGTGATATAAGGTTGTTCGTAATTCTGATTACGGAATGCAATATTTTAAAATTATTTTCACTCATGCTAGGTGGTCCAGCTACAGCCAAGTAATAAAGCATGAAGCTGCTGTATATCCAGTCTCACTGGAGCTGTCTATACTCATTTTCACCTCAAGAAAAAAGGAAGTTTTGCACACTGTTCATACGCCGCAAAGCAGTTCTCACGCAATTTGGTTGTCGGAGGAAGGAGCGACGCCTTTGGTGCTTAAAACTTGCACGTCTTGATAAGATGGCATTTATCAAACCTAAAATGCACCTACGGTAGAACCTCGTTGATGCATTCTTGGCTGATACGTTTTCCCGGCTGTTACGTTTAAAAACGCCGGTCCCGTTTTACTTTTATAGAGATACATGTAGAGTATAGACCACTTACAACGTAACCGCTTATAGTGCAGGACCGGGTATAACGCGGCTTTTTTAAACCACCGGTTCACCTCCGATAGAACTCCATGTAATTACACACCACTTAAAATACAGGCGCGCGAAGGTAAATACTGGTTATAGTGCGGTTTCTGGAACAGCCCGCCGACCGCGGCGACCATATAGGCGGCGACCGACTGGCGCAGAGAGCACGCTTCCCTGTGCGACACTAGATAACAGCGGCACTCGCAGGGCAAGGAGGTTGCTCGAAGAAGCGAAGCGAGAGGCTTCAGTTGCCATAGCGACGGAGGGACGCACGCACGTGTCGTTCACGGCGCAAGGCGTTGCAACAGCGCCGTTGAAAACACCCGCAACGACAGACCAATCGCAGGTCGAGAAGTGTTCGCGCACGTTGTATGCCGGTCGCGGGCAGACTTCTTCTATCCGCAAACATGGCGTCGGTGGTGATCGTCGACGTAGACGGCGTGGTGGAAGTTCATCGTTCCGCATAAAAGCGCTATCCTTGACTGTGAATTTTCGTTGTGTGTCGCTATGATAACCCAGCACGTACTAGAAGGGAAGATCCACCTACTCGTGCGGCGATGTCGTGGCGGCAATCTCAAGACTGCAGAAACGCCCGTGCCGTCGTGTTTGTTTACTTCGACTACAGTGGTGCTTTCTAAGCATTTGTGTTTTCGAACATCGGCCGGATTACTTATTTGGAGCATTTCATGCCCGTGATCAAGTTAAAGGTATTACTGGCGCGTACTGTATAAAGATGCGAATTTTCACGCGTTTTCATCACGGGAAAAAAGTGATTACGGTTAGCAATCCTGAACGCTCGCAATGTCCGTCCACAACCCGCGACGCCGTTAACAGGCTGCGCCAGGCATAAGTCGCTATTTCCTTCAAAATCTGTGACACACTTGAGAGAGGAGTGTACTAGTCTGGTGAAATAAATACTTTCCTCAAACTAAGCTTCATTTTTCATCTAATATAAAATAAATTGTTTTACAAAGGTAGGTAAGTTGTCTCATGGCATGTATTTTGGCCTGAAAAATTGATGTTTTGGTTATAGCGCGGTACCGCTTATAGTGTGGATTTTCGCGACTCCCGCGACATACGTTATATGCGGTCTACACTGTACTAATTTCCTGCCTATTACGTTTGCTTTCCCGGTTGTTACGTCCAAAAGTGTCAGCGCTGGCTTCGAAGCTAAGCAAAGCTGAACCGTGCAGTGCGGGTTGCACGGCATGCGTGGAAACGCAGATGCCCGTCGTCCCTTGACTGCTTTTGTCCTCTTTTTCGTCTCTCTGTCTCCTCGCTGGGCTTTACTGAGCTTTGCCACAGCTTCCTATCTTGCCCGGGTGTGACCTTGGAGCACTGCTCGAATGGGGAGCGAGGCTTCGAACGCTCATTCTCTCTTGCTCTCTCTTTCACCTGTCCTCTTTCTCTGGCACAAGGTTTGCCCGCATGCACGCTGCACATCTAGTTTCTGTTCCGCTGAATTGCGTGGACCGTGGTGTTTCGGAGTATGTGCGCTTTGCGCCCATTGACGACGGTCGTGGCATCGCGAAAAAGGAAGGCACTCTCTTTTAAAGAGAAGTTTGATATAATTCAGACAGTGGATCGCAATCCCAGCCGAAAGAGATCTGACATCGCAAGAAACCTCGGACTCGCGCTGTCAACTTTGAAAGGAGATCGAGGCGTTACCTCTAAACCGCAGAGCATAGCAAACATCGCGGCCGACCTCACTACTGCCGACATTGAAGAAAGTGATAAAGATGTCGAGCAAGAAACGAACGATTACCTACGCTGTGCCCAAGTATGCGGACGCGATCATTGCAAAGGACACCTTGCGCTGCTACGTAAATATTCACGACTGCGTGGAGAGTGAGAGAGGACTGCGGCTCTGGAGAAACGACTTTTACTGCTGAACATGAATTCAAGGCGGCAGGCGGATATTACGCACTTTTGTGAACATGTCTGAACTCTCAACAGTTCTGTAAGTACAGATAAAATAAACCACTGTATAAGAGCTGCTTTCTATCTCATGTAGAGCCCCCCTAAGTGCGTTATCGGTTATGTTTTCCCAGATGATACTTTTTTTTTTCTGCGGTCCCCTGAAAAACGAATCAAGGAGGTTCTACTGTATGTATATCCTAAATCTCCACATGAAGGAGAGTATTAGTAATGCTCTAGAAGGAGCCAAACATTTTTTACTGCGGAGCTTGAGGTGAAAACGAGTATAGGTGCTTTTAGCTAGTGCAAACTGTTATTCCTATCCGAAGGATGAAGAGAAAGCTATTTGACAAAACAGGCTGTGCAAGTGTAGCCACTGCTGTGAACATACGACGGATCTAGGAATAATTACTCTGTTGGAACTTTTTCCATGGGTGTCACTAAGGTCACTGTATCCTGGGAAAGCAGCCCCATTGCCTTCCTTACCCGCTAGCCGGACACAAACTGACACTGATGTACAAACGACCAAACCTCAAAGGGTAATTGGCTGCTCGGACTCAGTTGCCATGGCAATCGTCACTTCGGTCCATCCAAATATGTGAAAGGGTTCTGAAGCAGTCACACAATGGTAGACTATGCACCAACTTTGCACTGAAAGTGTTCCTCATTAATATAAAAGCGTCTGGCACTGTGCATACAATCCACTTATCAATCCTGCCTACCTCCACAGATCTTTCACAATGATAGTGTTCTTGCATATTTAGAGACAGGAAAATTGTTTTTCATGCTGCCAAGCACCGACGCCGCATGCAGTGTAGTGCAGACATGCACTTGTTTCGACGGTACGTGATGACAAAATCTCGGTATTCAAGAAATGCTGTTATAAAAAGACCTGTCGCTGCGAATTAGGATTGGCTCATTAAGAGTGGGGAGGCTGCTCCTTCAACGAACCAAAATGGCGACCACATGGGGCGCTTGCCACAATTTTCCCAGCATCCAGTGACATCAGGTGTCACGGGTCAGGCGTCCCTCATTTGTGCCACCTCTTCCGATGTCCAATCAAGCTGCGTCTATCGGCGTAACCTCGTCCGCAGGTCTCGCACGTGTACGGCCGCTCTCCCGTGTGTGTCCTCCTGTGAACCCGCAGGTTATCCTTCCATCTGAACGCACTCCCACACTCGCTGCACACGAACGGCCTTTCGTCTGTGTGCATTCTTTGATGATGCAACAAGTGAGTGCTCTGTGTAAACGACTGCTGACAGGTCTCGCACCTGAATGGCTTTTCGCCGGTGTGAATCCTCTCGTGAACGCGCAGGTGGTTAACCTGCTTGAACAACTTTTTGCAATAGTGGCAGCTGAAGGGCTTCTTTCCGGTGTGCGTTCTCTCGTGACATGCGAGGGCCGTCGTGTAACGGCTGGAGTAAGGGCACAAACTGCACCGGTGAGTGGTCAGTTGTCCAGGTCTCCTGGACCATTGAACGGCCGGCACGTCCGCGTCTACTTGAGGAGGGGCGTTGCTCTCGCCGTCTTCGTAGCCAGGTGCTTCTTCTTTGATGATTGGGTCCGTAGTGGCCCCATCTGTTTGGAAAACAGAGAAAGCCCAATCAGGGCAAATTAACGTCCCTATATAATGAAAGTTAGCGCAAACCTCCCCTCCCGTTCCGTTTCCTCTTTTCCATCAGAGGGAATCCCCCTTGCCCTTGGCGGCCGTCAAGAAGCTGACCCGCAACGCGTGCCTAGGCGCTCCTAACTGGGCCGGCCTGTAATCGTGTGGAATCCCATGCGGCGGCTTGGAAGAGTTTGTTCAAGTAAGATGACAGTTCTGCTATACAACGTAAAAAAACGTAGCATTTCTGCACCTATATTCGTTTTCTTAAGTGCAGGAGGATGTCTCAAACGGCTAATGTAACTGCGAGCAGAATTGTAGTCGCTCAGGTTTGAAGACAAAATATTTTCCAATTCCACTGAAACGCAAATGATTTAAAAGAATAGCAATGCTGTACCAATAATATTTGGACATCGACATACACTGCAGAAATATATTCACCCGCATTCACCAGGCGCGACTAGCTAGCGCCGTTTTAAGGTTAGTAGCACGACTAAGTTGTGGCGAGCTAAACGAGAAATCCGCGACTAACGAGCAATTATGTTCCGCGGTATTCGCGAGCGCGAAGCGAGCGGGTGACTATCTATACTCGTTTTCACCTCAAGAAAAAAGGACGTTTTGCGCATTGTTCATACGCCGGGCAAAGTAGTTCTTACAAGATTTAGTTATCGGAGGAAGAAGCGATCCTTTTGGCGTTTGAAACGTATACGTCTTGATTAGATAACATATATCTAATCTAAAATGCACCTACATATATATTAATTCTCCTCGGAAAAGGGAAAATTAGTAATGCTCTGCGAGGAGCCATACTTTTTTTACTTCGATTCTTGAGGTGAAAACGGGTATAGTCAAAACTAACAAGCGGAACTGACGTAAAAAGATAGGTCACGCATATGCATACTTAAAGGGCAACTCCACTCAAAAAGTCGACCCTATCGAAATGATTGATATCGCTTTAGGAGGTCAAAATACGGTCATACCCAAAATATCACGTCAAACTGACGCCGCGTTACCGATTAATACCAACATTAGAAATGTTCTCCCGGCTCGGTTAGCGGCCCGAAAGCGGGTGAGCAACGCTGGCACCGGGTGAGCTAGTGAAGCAACACTGGGCAATGACGTAGGTCTAGTCCTCCGCTCTCGTACGGACGCCGCGAACGCTTCGTTTCCCGTGGCATTCTGCGATTCTGCTGACGGCACGAGGTGTTTACCACATTATCCTGTCTTCTCCTATTTTTATTAGCGTCCAGGCAGTTGCTTTAATTCCAGCATTGCTTCCGCGACAGCGCGGAAGAGAGCAAAGCGGTGCTGCTCGCTCACGCGCGCGTCGTGGAGCCGGAGAGATTTGCCGGTCTCGCGTTGGGCAATGTCGAGCAGGATTTGTAGTGCTGTGGGTTGCACCAACAACCGGGTGCGCAACCCGGAGCTGCGGTTCCACCAGTTCCCAAGAGACCGGAAGAGGCACAAGGTGTGGGTCGGTGCCGTTCGCCGGATAGACTTCGGAAGACCGTTGACTCCGAGCTCCAACGCGAAGCTCTGCTCCCAGCACTTTACGTCAGACACCTACACACGGGATCTGCGGCTGCTGACTGTTGCGGGTTTCACCACGAAACAGGCGTCTTTGAAGAACGATGCGGTGCCGTCGCTGTTCGCGTACCGTCCGCCGGCTGCTCCAGCACGATCGGCCGGACGCAGTGGGTCGCGGCTGATCGAACTAGCGTGCACATAAAGGCACCTTGGCTTTAACAACTTAGACCACTTGTGGATAGATCTGTCCATCTATCTCCCATTATTTCGTTTTCTCGGTCTGCGCGCAAGAAACAAATACAGTCACGCTGCGTCGGCACCGACTGCGTCATATTTATAGCAGTCGGATTCGCTTTTCGGCCGGCAAATTTATAAATACAGTATAAACCACTTACAACGTAACCGCTTATAGTGCAGGACCGGGTATAACGCGGTTTTTTTAAACCACCGGTTCACCTCCCATAGAACTCCATGTAATTACATACCGCTTAAAATGCAGGCGCGCGAAGGGAAATACCGGTTATGGTGCGGTTTTTGGCACAGCCCGCCGACCGCGCCGACGACCGGAGCAGCGAGCTCGCTTCCCTGTGCGACACTAGATAACGGCAGATAACGGCGCTGACGGCGCGAGCCGCACGCTGCACTAGCGGGGCAAGGATGTTGCTCGAAAAAGCGGGAAGAAGCGAAGAGAGAGGCTTCAGTTGCCTGCGACGGAGGGACGCACGCACGTGTCGTTCACGTGCGTGCGTCCCTCCGCTGCGTTGGAAACAAAGAAACAAACAACCGCAACGACAGACCAATCGCAGGTCGAGGAGAAGTGTTCGCGCGCGTTGCATGCTCTCTCCTTTCCCCCCCAACCTCTCTTACAACGCTTCTCCTCCTCCTTCTCCTCTCCGGTCGCGGGCCGGCTGCTTCTATCCGTAAACATGGCGTCGGTTGTGATCGTCGTTCTGCGTAAAAGCGCTATCCTTGACTGTGAATTTTCGTTGTGTGTTGCTGTGATAACCCAGCACGTACTAGAAGGGAAGATCCACCTACTCGTGCAGCGATGTCGTGGCGGCGCTCTCAAGACGGCAGAAACGCCCGTGTCGTCGTGTTTGTTTACTTCGACTACAGTGGTGCTTTCTAAGCATTTGTATCCTCGAACAGCGCCCGGATTTCTTATTTGGAGCACTTCATGCCTGTGCTCAAGTTGAAGGTATTACTGGCGCGTACGTATGAAGGATGCGAATTTTCACGCGTTTTCATCTCCGGAGAAAAGTGATTAGGGTTAGCAATCCTGAACGCTCGCAACGTCCGTCCGCAACTCGCGACGTCGTTAAAAGGCTGCGCCAGGCAAAAGCCGCTCATTTCTTTCAAAATGTGTGACACACTTGAGAAAGAAGTGTACTAGTCTGGTGAAATAAAGACTTTCCTCAAACTAAGCTTTATTTTTCATCTAACATAAAAATAAATTCTTTTACAAAGGTAAGTTGTTTCATGGCATGTATTTTGGCCTGAAAAATTGATGTTTTGGTTATAGCGCGGTACCGCTTATAGTGCGGATTTTCGCGACTCCCGAGACATACGTTATATGCGGTCTACACTGTACACACTAAAACTTGCTACATTTGATGCATATCAACAAAGTGAAGCGGTAAAAAAAGAAAATGTGCATCTAACCTTCTGTTTTGAAACTCCACGTGCGACTGAGCCGACCTTGTCGGCGCGTCGGCTGAGAAGCGCGGGACCAGAACTAGGTCATGCCGACGACGCGCCGCTAGTATCAGTGTTGCCAAGCTGCTTCAACCGGTAGTTTCGGTTTCGCCGTGCCACCGGACCGATTCTTGCATTCGCGATATCTACAAAACTATACACACTACCGAAAAACAAATTATATCTCGTGATTCAGGGTCGCCGGCTTCGACTAAACAGATCATAACCCAGAAATTGTAAAAATGGAGTGGAGTTGCCCTTTAAACGCCTCTGCGTAAATGGATATTTGATCGTATAAAAACTAAACTTTAAATGTTTATCAGGAAAAAAAAAGTTACAATGAGAGACATATTGTCCGCGACAGTTTTACAAAGAAAATTTAAAAACAACGCCAGGGAGAAACAAAAGCCAGATTGCCAGCAACATAAACAAATATGAAAGCGCCCGTAAATGTGTTTTTTTCTCGTCGTCCAGCGCCCTGCTGAGATCTATTTAGCGGTATCTCTGACCGCTGAACGTGGCTATTTACACATTATTTGCTCCTCCAATTCTTTCTAGATGTGTTCCCCAGCGTTCCGAGACAGTAAGTGCATCGTTAGCGCTGGCGGTCAGCGGAGATACGAGTCGGCCATGGCACTGAGCTGCTAGTCACCCGCTAAAGTAGCCCTACCCCATGACTAAGATTTGTTGGTCGACTTCTTAGTCGGGCGGAAGGAATAGGCCCTAAACACGATCGGTGAATACCAAGCGCTCACTTAGCGGCGACTATCGCTCGCCACGTGATCCTTTTAGTCGATGACGTCACTACTCTGTGGTTAAACAGGCACTACTCGTGCCTGGTGGATACAGGTGATTGCGTTTACCCGTTTACTGCAACATATACTGAGAGCTGCCAGATCATGATGAGCACTATTTCCTGATTGTAGAAAACAGAAAAAAGTAAGTTTATTTGTGGAATTGTAATCATTTCCTATTCCTCGCAACTTTGCTTCCTTCGAGCATGATCTTGATATGCTGCTGTACCATATGCCTAGGACAGTGCTTCAACAAGTCACTTTTTTTTTTCTTCTTTTTCCGTGTATGTGGCACTACATCAAACGCTTAGGTTGTTACAGGGCACTAAAAAAATAAAGGATTATTTTTATTATTATTATAGACCAAATCCACGCTGCAGAGCATGTTGGATAAACTAGTGGTCACATAGAAAGAATAAAAAACCACTGAAATAGACAAAAGACGGAACTGTCTCTGTCCTTCATCCATTTCAGCGTTCTATTCTTTCTGCGTCAATTGAAGATCAAAAACAAGAAAACTGTTTTTAAAGCCAACTTCTTTTTTGCTGCAATTTTTGTTTTTCAAAACCAGAATCTCCTCTCAAGTATGTTCTTTGACAAACAGCAAAGCTGGACAGTTTCTCTCCACTCCAGTGTGCATTCTTTCGTACCTGGAGGCGTTTCTGCAGCAGTTGGAGCAACGACAGAGGTGGCACCACCGTCTGTCCCCCTTCCGGAGTGCACCTCCTGCTGCCGCCACTCAAACCCAGATACCTGGCAGGCAATGCTTCTCGTGCCCTCGCAGACTGTGCTCTCCCACTCGCCTTCAAAAGCTGCCAGGTCAGGCACCGCTGCAAAGGCAGAGCAAGGTTTACTTACTCGGTTCTCAAGTTATTCATACAAGGACAGTTCAAGCCTCACAGGGGCTTTTATTCCCAAGGAAGAAATTAAAACTCCAACAAGCACGAAGCTGATTCAATTTTTTTTAAGTATGAGGGTGATTAAAAACTTATTCATGCAAACGTTTCACTATTCATCTTGCGCAAACTTTTTTAAACCCAAGTCATCCGTAGATTATTGTGTAGACAATCCCTTGGCTGATTTGAAAATGATGTGCCACATCACCCACTGTAACTTCCGTACATGACAGTCAGTTCACGCGTACGCTCAATGCTGTCATCAGTCGTGATGCGGACGGGCGTCAGGCTCCTTTTTTCATGGCCCCCACCCGTGTGTCCTTCCTTGAACTCCTGCATTCACTCAAACATGCTTCTTTGCGACAAAAAGCTTCCTCCATACTGTGCACAAAACATTGGCACCGGACACATTCTCTGACCACAAAACAAATCACGACATGCTGCTCTTTCGTGCAAATCACAAGTAGTGCAGCCATTGTTTCCCACACCTGCACTCCCAACTGAACAGATGTGAGATGTTCATACCTTCACAGCAATGACTGGAGGGACAGTGGCCTCGCACACATTGCAGTGTTAAGACAATGCAGCCAATGAAGTTTTAAGATAACCGGAGAGCGAATAATTTTTTAATCACCCTCGTATTTCCTGCGCATGTCCAGTCACGTGCCGCCATTGTTTTGGCAGCTCTGCTATTCCCCCGACGTAGAAACAACTGGACCGTGTGACTGCAGTCGGATGAATGTGTCTGTACAGTTCCGTTGTCCCCGGCAGTTGTCCTTCGCCAAAACACTGACAGCGTTCCTACTTGAGACATTGTTTGCTCCCCGGACTCTCCTTGCAATCCTCTCCAGAATTAAGGCAAGACACTGGTTCTAAAATCGACTTTTTTGTTTATTAATGGATTATAATGAAAATCAGTGTGTATATGTGTTTTGGCTTCCTCTTTTCAAATATTCAATTAGTTCTGCACTATCTCAATTACTTTCTGAGTTACAAAGAAAATAATGAAGCCTAATTAGGTCATTTCTTACGACTCATTAAGGAACTTTCTAATACGAATTTTTTTGCATAAGTGATATGGATTTGTAGCTAAAGACCTGTCATGCAAGATGATGCTATTTATATTTTTGTAAAGATAGATCATTGTATAAAACTAGTCTAGTTAGGTCAAGTACACTATTTACAAAGCCTAACGAGGTCACATTATCACTAATACTAAAATTTCGGGCCCATACTGTCATACAAAAATAGCATCACCCTGCAGTTCACTTCTTTCTGAATTCAACGGTATAAAGTTTATAGAAATCCTTGAAGAATAATCTCATGAAAACAACCGTAAGGCTAGGCATGTAGACGAAAAATGCGAAGCTGAGAAAATTGCAGTTGAAGTTTTGACACTCATTGCATAAAATTGAGTAAGGGATCCCATGCAATAATGTTCAGCAATATGAAGCATAGTTCTATCTGAACAAATTGAGATTAAAAATTCTGCAATCCGTTCACAAGAACCTTTAAAAAATAATATAAAACTGAGAAATAATGTCTGCAATGTAAAATAAAGTTATAAAAGAATGAGTAGACTCTATAAGGGACAACGGGAGGAGGCACCAAGGCTTGCACGTTCCGAAAGCAGATTTTGTTTGGCCCTGAAAAGGGCCTTTGTTCGTGTAGCACTTGAAAGGGGAGCCCCTCACAGCTGTCCAGGACTGTAGTCCCCAGCTGTTCCAGTTTGGTGTTGCCTGGAGAACCTCTGCTTTGCGTTGCTGCTGCTCTGGTGGGCAGCGTTGGCCTTACGCAAACGCAGATTGTCCTTCTCCATGCTTTGAGAGCTTTCATGTCCACTACAATGAACTGTGTCCCAGCATCGCGCGTCTGGCCTCCTGTGGTGCTTAAAACCATAGTTGCCAGTTGTCTGAAGCTTTATCTAAAATCGCAGCAAACGCTTTCCCGTCCTCCAGAAATGCTACAACAGTTTGCGTGAGCAAAACAATATCACATGAGCTTCCTAGCACTGTATAAAAGCTGAGGAAGTTGCATTTTTGAATTGCGACGATTGACACGCATCTACCCTGCACTAAGCACCAAGATGGCGGCGCCCGCTAGCAGGTCGGGGAACGGAGTGCCGATACTCGAAGCGTAGCTCATTTAGCGACTCTAGGTGGTGCATTCATCATACTCAAATTTAATGAATGTAGATTCCAAGAAACAAAATTAAACCCGAAAGAAGCTGTTTTCCTACGCACAAGGAGGAAAACTGCAAATAACCGCCTGGTTGACACTGCTACTCACAAAGGGTACCACACACAATCGCGTCTGCTGGATTTGCTTTCAGGTGTCCATCTGAAAGGAACTTCCACGTTTTTGCTTTATGTGGGGCCATACAAACTTTCCTACACCCGAATAGCGCTCGAGAACACGCTGCACACGAGCCAGCAGCAAGATGGTGGTGTTCAGATGCTGTCTTTGCAAACACCTAGACTCAAGCAACTGGCCCAAGTGCGATGAGCTGCAAGAAAAAAAGACGGCAAAATATGCACTCATCCAAAGGTCAAAAGCGAAAATCGTGCACAAACAAGCACACTGTCCCTAAAGATTCAGAACAAACTGTCTCTTCAAATTGTTTAACACTGTTTCTAGCATTGATAAACAAATTACCAGAGTTTCGAGGTTTCAGGCCTTGATACCCCTTAAAAGAATATTTTTCTGCTCTGCGTGTGTTCTCAATTATATATGCGAAGTGTTTTTTTTTTTTTTTTTTTAATTTGCTGCACTACCACACTCTGTGCTTGCTTTTTCGTAAAACTTAATCAATTTATCCCTCCTACCTTGGCTGCCCCACGGCGGCCGGTAGTATCAACAAAAACATTTAGAAAGCACTACAAAGGTGATCCAACTGTCTTACAATTGTGACTCAAGGTGTAAATCTACCAAGGAATGATCAATAGTCACACACAACTACAGTCGGTGACAAATTTAGTGTGAGGTGGAAGCTCCTCCCACCCCCTTTCCACTTTAGCAGAAGAAAGGTGAAGAGGTGATCTCTCCCAACGTTTGCTCTGCTAAAGTGGAAAGAGGTAAGAGGAGCTTCCACTTCACTCTCAGCCTACCACACACTATAGTCAAAGGATTCAATGAAAGAGTTTGGTTGCACAACAACACCCTGTACGCATTCTGGAGTATACAAAAGGTATGACGGTAGAGCAACGGTGGTGCCATATCACGTTGGCTTTGCTCGTGAGGATGAGTCGGAAACAGATCAGACCAGGTGGGTCGGCTAGCTTGGGTAGGGCAGACAGTGTGCATGATTGCAAGCAACTGGCTGAGCTGCGGCCACACCCGGATTCTTCCGACTGTCGCATTCGTGAAACGAAGAACGTAGCACGAGGGCCCTGAGCTGCGAAAAACTGACTTGATTGATGGCTGGTTCTATTTCCAAGATGGTAATTCGCCGTTCAGCACATTTTCATTGAGACAGTGCCCAGAGTTTGACCTGCAAAGTTTAGAATGTCAATTGTTACCAAACACACACCCACACCGACGCTACAAATTGCCGCCCGCAGGGCCAAGGAAGCAATGTTCAGTCATGGACTTCTAAATGATTTCAATTTACTCTTGCTCTTAGAGATCCCACTTCTGGTATTATAAGAAAAGCGACGTGGTCTCAACCACTTCATCGTAGCACGAATCTTCCCACCAAGGTCAACGTTTCCAAAAGAAAAACTGTGCATCCTCTGTCCAAAAAAGCTGCAGCTAACATGTAATATATGGGCTGCTTGGTTTATGGTTAAAACAATTTGTTAAAAGAAAAGAACAAAAGGCACACTAACGTGGTCTGTGCAGGCGAGTTATACGAAAAAGGACTTAAGATAGGTGGCTAATTGTCACAATACCTCGAATAATTAACAAAATTTTGTTCATCGTCTTAGTAGCTAGTGAAAATAAACATACAGTTCCAATTATAAATTTGCTGACCGGCCTTGAAAAGCACAAAATAAGTAAAATATAGTAAGACTTGTAGCGCCAGGGAAAGTCGGAAGTGCAATAAAGTTACTATAGTCATGTCTCGTTAATAGGAACCCTGTTCATATGAACCCCGTTAATATGGACACACCGCATTATGGACAAAATTTTCAGAGATCAATCTTTTGCAATGCAGTTTTGCCCCATTAATATGGAAACCCACAGTTCGAACTATAAACAGCTATTCTGGGAACGAATAGGGTAAACACAGGCATTTCTGTCTCGTTATTACGGATGCCGGTAGCCCAGTTTAAAAAAGAAAAGGTTCAAAAACTTTTCCGAGATATCAGTGAACCCAAGAGGCCACAGCGTGCACCTGGACGTTCGTTGCGGGTCTCGCAATAAGAGCTGCGCACCAAAAGATGTTTTACTTCTGTCTTCTAAGTAAACTGGGTCATTACTGCTTGTAGTTGCTCAAGATTGTGTAGGACCTATAACCGGGAACAAAGAAGAGTGAACTCCAAAAGGTCACTTCATTGCAGCTTTCGTTGACATTTGGAGTACAGGAGAGAAGCTCTGGACAGAGAAAGCTAATTTCTTCTATACTTCATTTCACAGTGACTTGGCAAACGGCAAAGGCCATGAGGGGACAAAGCAACGTCTGGGATGCACAAAAGAGGGTTTATGAGAGTTCCTCTTTCTACTCTTCTCAAACTGCTTGGGTTGGGGAAGAAGGAAAGGAGAAGCTCCCCCCTACACTTGTTGATGCGCGTGTTTTGACCCCAATTCGCTATTAGGGACGACCCGCACTACGGAAGGTCTTTCTGAAAAATGGAGGCATCCATATTAACGAGACACAACTGTACTATGGTGGCTCAAACATGTGTCCGACTGGTGTGCCCAGCGTCCCGTTCCTCCCAAGCGTCGAAAGTGATCTCGAAGGGGCAACAAACGGTGCCACGAAAGCCGAAGTGTTGTGCTGCCGGATGTCGCGATTCTGGTGATCGGGCACAGAAGTTACGGAAAGAGAGCACGAGAAGAAACGAGTGTTGTCGTCACTGCATCTCAAGTCCCGGCTACCGAAGCTTCCACGGACTGTCAGGCTGGAAGCAACCTGCAGCAGAACGGGCGTCTGCTACGCCCACCACCCATACTGCGACAGTGTCAGGTTTGCAACCGGCGACACTTCTATGGCGTCGTTGAGGAGCCTCTTTTTTGGACGCGGCAAACACACCAGTCGGAGATGCATCAAAGGTGCCCTAGTTATCACTTGTGCAACAGGTGCAAAGCTAGCGATGCGAAAATGAGGAAGGTAACATCATCATCCACATTTTTTATCATCGGCCTTGCACCTTTTGCAGAAGTGGTCACTTTAGCGCACCCCAACGCTTCGTCGGGTCTCTCTAAAGTCACTAATGTAGCAGTTTTCAACGACGCTCAGCAAGTTTCTAATTGGACCCATGTCTCTTTTCACTAGCTATAAAAGTTTAGTTTTTCGTCTTGTCTTAAAGAGTCTGACAGCAGTTTGATCCTCTCGCTGATTGTGTGTCCTCCCATGTGAGGATTTGTGTCTTTTCAGGAAGGACGGCTCTTTTTGTTCCCAAGGAAAATGCTCTTTCCCCGAATGCAGTACTGCCTTGGCCTGCCTTAGGGGTGACATATCACACACACAAGACTGAATCAGTTTTTATTTTCTCCGGAGTTTGCTTTTGTCACGACAACATTGGAAGCCAACCCACAATGTCCCACATTAGTAGCCTTTCCCACATAAAATCCTGCAGTCTGTTTGTTAGCAGTCACCACATACTGCCCTGGAAGTTCAAAAAAGCACCCACATAGCTCGAGGGAAGTTGCTACTGCAAAAGCAGTTCTTTGCTCGAAGCCATAGGTAGATGTTTATTTCCATGCCTGCCAACAGCCGAGGCTTGGGCAGGAGTGCACTGTCTGTTAAAAACACAAAAACAAGCAC